GTTACTCCATGACCTACTGTGTGCTGGGTCCTTCACTAAGGACGTGACCTTGAACAAACACACTTGTGGAGTCTCACGCCAGCTTGGTTAGGGGAATCGACTGAGTCCAGATGAGGTCAACACCGCACGAATGTCTAAATAACCAGAGCAGTAGGAACTCTGGACCAGAGTCAGAGCGGAAAAAACAGCCCTAAGGCAGACAGAAGAGGAAGCCACCAAAGTCAAGTTGAAGACTGAGCCAGGAAGAAGGTTTTCACAAAGAAGTAAAGTTCTACTTTATGGGGAATGAACGCTTCTATTTCAGAGAAGAAGCCAATTACTTTGACATGTTTAAGAAGAAACAAATCCGTGCCTGTCACCCTCAGCGTGAGCCACTGAGGGTGGAAAACCTGAAGGTGGAAAGGGGATTATACAGGAGGTCAGAAGCCCCTGGTCTTAAGGCTGTTTCGAGGCCTTGATCTCTTTTGGTTCAGAGTGCTCAGCATGCCAGATTGGCACGTTCTGGGGGACCGTTTTCTAAGCCCCAAACTTTGGCTTTCTCCATGGCCATTCTTACATCCTTCTTTGTGTCTCTTTCACTGTCCCAGGGTTCAGGTATGTGACTGCTGGCACCTGGAAACAACTTCTGCAGTTTTCTAAGCATCAGAAACTTGCAAAACCAAAAAAGAATCTTGCCACATCCCTAGAAGGGATGGAAGCCTTAAATACGAGGGGAACCCCCAAAACCGGAATTTGTTTATAAAAAATTGTGTATCTATTCTTAGATGTTTAGACTTCAGCCACCTTCAAAGTCCTCTCGGTTTGATGCAATACACCTGCGGAGACGCTTGTTCCACGGCTCAGAACAGCTTTTGAACTCGTCAATGTGGATGCTTCTGTTGTTTTTGGTTTCACCTCTTTCACATCAGCAAAATGTTTCCCCCAGAGGAAACATCCGGGGAAATAAGCAAAAATTTGCTGGGGTGAGATCGGGTGAGTAGGGAGGGTGGGACATGGGGTTTATGCCATTTAGGTCAAAAACTGCCAAACACTCAGGACGGTGTGGGCAGGTGCGCTCGTAAATCACCCATCATGAATATCATGAAATGGGCAAAGGCGCTGAAAGAATCTCAAAAAGAAAATGGGTAGATCCCCTGCTTTCAGCTTGAGTGGAATGGGAATGATCTCCTCTTTCTCTCTCTCTCTCTCTCTCTCTCTCTCTCTCTCTCTCTCTAGCACACATAAACAGCACACTCCAGCTGTTCTCTACACTGTGTCAAAGGGCTGCTGAAAGAATAAACCGCGTTCAGAACTGGACGCTAGACAATGGGGGCACAGAGACGCACAGAGTGGAATAATAGACACTGGAGGCCATGAAGGGTGGGAGGGGGTGGTGGGGGCTGAAATATCACCTACAGAGTCCGATGCTCATCATTCGGGTGAAGGGGACACTGGATGCCCGGACGTCACCCCTACGCGATCTATGCGGGTAAGAGATACGCACTTGGGCTGAATGTGGTGGCTCAAGCCTATATTCCTAGCACTTTGGGAGGCCAAGGTGAGAGGACTGCCTGAGCCCAGGGGCTCCAGACCAGCCCAGGGAACTTGGTGAGACCTCGTCTCTACAATAAAAAATAAAAAATAAAAAAAATAGCCAGGCATGGTAGCACACCCCTGTAGTTCTGGCTCCTTGGAAGGCTGAGGCGGAAGGATCGTCGGAGCCCAGTAGGTCAATGCTGGGGTGGCCATGAGTGTGCCCCTGCACTCCAGCCTGGGTGACAGAGTGAGACTCCAGCTAAAAAAAAAGATCTGCTGCTTTTACTCCCAAATATATTTTAGAAATTTAAAATTTCTAGTCATTAACAAAAACAGACCAAAAAAAGTATTCAGAATTATAGCCTCTGACAGCCTTTGCCTCGCGTCACTAACATTTCTGAATGAGTCATTGGGATTCTTTTCCCTACGTGCTGAATAATAATAGTAATAGTAATGATAAAGGCGTCAGATGGTCTTGCTGGCCCTGGGTAAAAATGTGTGTGTGTGTCTAGATTGTGAATAAAGGTGGGTAGATTATTAACTACAGGAAAGAAAAAGAAGAGAGTCCATCGCTTTTCTTTTTCTCCATGCAGTTTGTTTATGAAAGTTAAGCAGAATGGTTTTGGGGGTTTTTTTGAGTGGGAGTCCCACGCTGTTGCCCAGGCTGGAGTACAGGGACACGCTCACAGCCACCGCAGCCTCGACCTGCTGGGCTCCGGCGATCCTTCTGCCTCAGCCTTCCAAGTAGCTGGGACTACAGACACACGCCACCATGTCCAGCTAATTTTTGTGATTTATTGTAGAGACGAGGTCTTACCAAGTTGCCCAGGCTGGACTCGAACTCCCAGGCTCAGGCAATCCACTCGCCTCGGCCTCCCAAAGGGCTGGGATTATAGGCTGAGCTATCATGCCCAGCCAATAGACTGGTTTAACAGAGCACGTGATGTCCATACAATGGAATAATAAAAAGGAGGGAAGTATTGACACAAGCTTTAGCATGGGTAGACCTTGAAAACATCACGCTAAGTGAAAGAAGCCAATCAAGACAGACCACATGTTGTATGATTTCATCCACGGGCAATGTCTAGAACAGGGAGAGCACAGGGACAGAAAGGAGATTAATGGTTCCTTAGGGCTAAAGGGTATGGGGAGACAGGGGTTAAAAGGTTTCTTTTCAAGGGAGTAAAAATGTTCTAACGTTGACAGGGTGAGGATTGCTCAAATCTGTGAATGTACTAAAAAAAATTCCTGAGTTGCATTTAAATGGGGTTTGTATGGAATGCCAATCATATCTCAAAAAAGTATTTTATGAAAAGTAACTAACAGCTTTTATTCAGATGGGGTATTGATTTGCACATTACCCAACCTCTTTTTGGAAGCTCCAGAAAATGGCAAAAGCCTCCTAAGTTGACTGATGCAAGGATAGACCGAGAGTGGGAAATGCATTGTTTTAAAAAATCTTCTTCCTAAACCTTAATACAATGATGAGAAAGTAGAAGCTATGGTTTTGGAGAAACGCACACTTCAGGTAAAATTAACTTTGCCGACTTTGTCTTTTCAGAAAGAGGCTTCCTCATGCCAGGTATCAGAAGTAGCTCATAGTGGCAATCAAGCTTGCCTCGAGTCAAGGGAATTTACAAGAGCTAAGACATCATGCATTGGGCAAGGATGGTAAAAGTCATGAAACTTGCAATTGCAAAAGTTATGACCACTCAGAGGGGGAGCACGTGGGGATTCAATCTTCCAGTAGAATGGGTCCTATCTACAGGGAAGTCAAGGATCCCCCGAAGCTACCCACTGGGAATGCCTAGGAGATAAGGGGAGGTGCACCCTAGTTCTAAGGAATGTCTTTGGAAGGTGCAGGAACATTAGAATCCTTGTCACACCCTTCTCTAGGGGCTGTGATAATATGGACAGACATCAGTGGGTCTCCATGTCACAGGTTCTCCAAGACATTCGCAGGTGGTCGATAAGGAAGTCATGGCAGTCATGTCTCCCTGACTGCAACATCTCCAAGGAAAAGAATTTAAGCCTGGGCTCGGGGAGCTACGGGGCCGCACTCATCTAGAGTGTAGATCCGCTCCCTGTCTGTGGGGAGTGAACTTATCTTAAATAAATCTTTCCTTCTCTCACCTCTCTGTGTGTTGCAATTCTTTGCACTTACTCGGATCTCTGGGTTGCCAGGGCACACCCCGGCACACCAGCTCCGGCGGTGCTGCGCACCCCCTGAGCCTCTCTCTCCATCCACCCCTCCACCCTCACCCTATCCGTGCCCTAACAACTGACTCTAACCTCGAGCTCTGACTTATTTCCACGGGTACTGAGAATGTTCCTCAATGTTCAGAATATTCAGAGTTTAGCATATCTTCTTATTTTGTGGTTTTTTTTTAAGCGATGGAGGTTGAACTCCTGGCCTCAAGAGATCCTCCCGCCTCAGCCTCCACCTCCAGTAGCTGGGATTACAGGTGTGTGCCATCGTGCCTGGCTCTAACACACTCTTGATTCAACCCCTGTTCCTACAATGCATTTAACACCAACTATCAATGAACGCCGAATTCACCCTGCGCGTTTGATACCTGCTAGGTTCTGTGCTGGGCACTCAGGTCATCAAGGGACCCAGTGACCTGCCTTGGGCTCTCAGAGATCTTTTTTTCCTATCCAGAGTCTGCCAAAACCCACCACCAGCCCTGACCTCAGAGTGTCAAGGTGAATTCCACTTCTCTTAGGCTCCAGGGACCTGAGGTCATTGTTATGCGTGCACCTAGGTAGAAATCTAGTTTGCCTTTCTAAAAACTTGTTTAAAGATCAGGGAAGATAGGGGGGAAAAAAAACTAGAGAAAGGAAAATTTTAGGAGTCTACTTTCCAGCCTCAATTGAGGGTCTTGGGTCCCCAGGAGACGCCTCCAAAGTGAATTGGCCCCTGTCAGAGGGCTCCCGCCCTCCTGGCTCCCTGGGTCTCTTCCCTGCTCAGTCTTGTCACTGTGCACCCTCACCCTTCCTCCTGCATGGTGGGTGATCATCCTGACTCATGGAATACTCGAGGAAAACAGAAACCCCGTTTCAGACCCGAGTTTTGGAAGATGAGGGATAGTGGGTTGCCTCAGTGGTGCAGAAGATGCATTAGCTAGTTCATTGTTCACTAGGTTGGTGCCAACTGAACTGCAGTCTTCTGATTTGTCGGAAGAGCTTACAGATGAGTGATCCCTTGTTGACTTTTCAAATACTGAAGACAGTGGCAATCTCATCTGTGATTTATCTTCCATGTTCAAGGGAGTCCAATATCCATAAGGAGTAAGAGTCACTGTTTTAGTGCAAAGATCAAAGCTACTTTGACCGAGAGTGCCACACCGAGGACACAGGCCCACCCGAGACCGCAGCACCTGGGAAAGCTGGTGAGAGCCGGTGAAGAGGATACCAAGCACCAAAAAATGTCCCTGTTGTGTGCCCTAAAGGATGGGAGTTAGGAAGGAGTAAGGTTATCGTACCTGCTTGGCCAGGTAGAGTTTGGTGATAGAAGATCTCTGGGTCTTGGATCGATAAACATGGAGAAGCTGCCAGGGGGCCAGGAGCCAAAGGTAGCCCAAGGGAATCCACACCAGAACAGTTTGCTCAAAACAAAGAGGCAGGTCTGCCTCTGGGCTATCCAGGAGCGAGGAATTCTGTGGACCAGAAGGGAAGGATTGCTGGACATGTTTGGAGATGGAACGCCAACCCCTGCCCCGCACACCCCCCACGAAACCCTCCCCCTGCACCTCCCTCCCACCCTTTCCGAACAATTGCATCTCAGCTCCCTCTCCACACCCAGCCTTGCTCTTTTTTTATTTTTATTTTTTGAGTTGGAGTCTCACTCGGTCGCCTAGACTGGAGTGCAGTGGCCACTCCCGGCCACCGCAGCCTCGCCTGCTGGACTCCAGTGATTCTTCTGCCTCAGCCTTCCCAGTAGCCGGAATTACAGGCATGAGCTACCATGCGCTACCATGCCCAGCTGATTTTTTGATTTATTGTAGAGAGGAGGTCTTGCTGCCCAGGCGGGTCTTGAACCCGCGGGCTCAGGCAATCCACTCACCTCAGCCTCCCAAGTTGCGGGATTACAGGCTGAGCCACCGAGCCCGGTGAACATTGGTATTCTTAACCATGAATTGTACCCCACATCTTTAAAAAAAATTTTAAAGAAAAGAAAATCTTCAGCAAAGGATTAAATATTCTTTTTTTTTTTTTGAGTTGGAGTCTCACTCGGTCGCCCAGACTGGAGTGCAGTGGCCGCTCCCGGCCACCGCAGCCTCGACCTGCTGGGCTCCGGCGATCCTTCCGCCTCAGCCTTCCGAGTAGCTGGAATTACAGGCGTGCACTACCACGCCCGGCTGATTTTTTGATTTATTGTAGAGATGAGGTCTCGCCGCCCAGGCGGGTCTCGAACCCACGGGCTCAGGCAATCCACTCACCTCAGCTTCCCAAAGGCGCGGGATTATAGGCTGAGCCACCGAGCCCGGCTCAGCCTTGCTCTTTAACTGCCTGCGTTTGCCTGCTTATCTCCACCGAAACAAATTCATCATCGAAGTGACATTTAGTGACTGTTGTGGCCAAGCCAACCTCTGAAAACCCATCGTCCTGTGATGCCGGGTGACTTTCTGTACCAGCGATGCTGAGTCGGCCTCAGCACTGTATTTGCCACATTGTAGGAAGAAGAAGGACTGTGCCCCAGTCCAGAGGAGAGAGCGGTCAGTCCCCTGGGACATGAGAAACGTGATGATTCTAGTTTCTAGCACTGATTGAACTCACTGGCGGATGCCAGACTGAGAGAATGCTCAGTCCTACGCTACCATTCAGCCTCCTGTGGCCCAGAAGGCTTATATCAGAACCAAGGAGGCCCGGCCAGCTTCAGCCCAGCAGTGACCGTGGCGCTCGTGGACAGAAAGCTTGCTCCCGGCAAGTTCTAGAGCAGTCCTTGCCCTCCGCAGACAGTGCAAGTGTCTGGGGGGAGGGGAAGGAGGACCAGTTCTTACACGAGTCCTCTTCCTATGTAAACATTTTTAAGTTGCTCCGTATGGCTATTCATCAGATTATTCCCAGAAAGAATTCTCAAGAGATGGCCCCACAAGATACTGGAGCCCGTTAAGCCCCACCTTCCCAGGGTAGATGCCTCCTGGCCTTGAGGCCTCGGGCCCCAGCTTCTTTCTGACACAAGAAATTCCAGCCAAGTGCTCTGTGGTCTCATTCCTGCTCCCCTCATCCCTACGCAAAGTGATCAAACTTCAGAATTCAGAGGAATCACCGAAGGCAGTTCAACGAAGCCAATCGTCCATTGCTTTGTTAAACTGGTGTGTTTACATGACTCTTTGAGCGATGGTCACCATGTTTCCTAGCCTTGGCCACCTCCCCTACCTTGGGGAGGTGAATAGCTCCTCTGTCGTCTCTTTCTCTTATTGACTTTCTAAATAACCTATATTTTCCAATCTAAAAAACCCCACAAAAAGCAATGATGTCAATCACCCCTGGTGATTCTGACACTGATGCCAGGACACTTTCTCACTAAAATCTCACCGGCATCACTGAGTCCAAGGGCCTTTCTCAATCTCCACCCACGAACCCCGTTTGATACTGTGGGCTGCCCTCAGTCTTGAAATTCTCTGCTCGCTACGACTCCACGACATTATACTATTCTTATTCACCTGCTAAGTGCCGCCTCTCTCCTCTAAAAACAGAATTATCCTGTTCTAGTGGGAACTAATTCAAAGATCAGTGTTCAGGATGCTCATTTCCACACCTGGCCTCAACTTCTTGTTGTCAGTTCTTCTAGAACATACTATGTTTTCAGCATTACATATCTCAGCAAGACTCAGTTGTGGACCATCTCTTCCTCCTCTCCCCCGAACTATACTGCAAAACTCCCCTCCCTAACAATTCCCTTTCCTGGTAAAATTGGAAGGTTTTTCCTTATTTCTCTTTAGAGAAGGCGATTTTGCAGCCAGCTAGTCTAATACAAGAGTCAGAGATGCAGTACACACGCTAGAGAGGAAATTATATTACCCTTCCCAGATCTGATATCCTCCGGAGGTATTATGAATGATCCTTTCTAAAAACTCCTGTGCTTTGGACCAGCCTCACATCTAATTTTTCTGGTTCCTGTGGCCGGTCACCCTAAGTCAATCTACCGCTTGCTCTGTGTCTAAGAGTCAATAGTGAGGATAAGTGTAATTCTCACCCAAAAAGTCGAGTTGCAGAACCTCTCCAGCATGGTTCCGGGAACACTTCTGGAAGGAGCACTCTCCTATAACTGTGGCGTTTCTTCTTCACTTCTTTCCTTGAGGAAGGTGGAAGGTGAGTTATCTACCATTCTGGCGTTCCGATATCCCAACCAAAGTCAGACCTCGTGACCTTTCATCCCAGTGACCTTTCATCCCAGCAATTTAATCGTTAACCTTCTCGGATGCAGGTTATATCATCCCAGTGGATAGACATGTGACTCAAAGCCCCAGAGACAGGCACACCCACCAGTTCCCCAAGTGGCAGAAGTCTCTGCAGGAGTGGCCGCACGTAAAAGAAAGCCCTGGAAGATGTCAATAAACCGGGAAGCTTTCATCCCGCTCAGGACACAATGCCTGGAAAGGGTGGCGTCTGTCCGTGGAGGGGGTGGGGAGGAGAGGAGGGTGCCCCTCCATGCACAGTTTCACTTCTGTTTTAAGATCTTCTGGTGTATAGAGATGTGAGCTATCCTTTGCCAGACATTGTAAACACGATGTTGTGATTCTGCGAACACCATGGTGGCGCCAGTCACTAGAAGCTGTCATGACCCAACCTTCCCTACTGTCCCTTAAACTGTCAGAACCAAGCATGGTGTACATTGCCACCAATGAAGCATCCCCGCTGAAAAGTTGGGTCTCCGTCGATGCTAACTCTACCCCAACCACTAGTTTCTAAGAAATCCAGGAACTTGGACCTCCTGGGAATGCAATCAGCAAAATCCAAAGCATGGCAGATTCTATAGCACATATGATTCTACTTCTTAATGAATAAAGTAAAAGAAGAAAAGGAGAAGGAACTTACAGACGGAAAGAGAGCCAAGAGGTAGGTCAGCCAAATGTGGACTTCGTTGTTGATTTTAAAAAACAACTACGCACAGCAGAGGAAACAATTTTTTATAAAATGAGGCTGGGCGCGGTGGCTCAAGCCTGTCATCCCAGCACTTTGGGAGGCCAAGGTGAGAGGATTGCCTGGGCCCAGGGGTTCGAGACCAGCCCAGGCAACTTGGCAAGACCTCATCTCTACAATAAACACAAAATTACCTGAGTGTGGTAGCGTGTGCCTGTAGTTCCGGCTACTTGGAAAACTGAGGCAGAAGGATCACCTGAGTCCAGCAGGTCAATGCTGGGGTGGCCTGGGCAATGGAGTGAGACTCCAACTCAAAAAAAAAAAAAAAAAAAAAAAAAAAAAGAAAGAAAAGAAAAGGCAAGCTACAGAATGGGAGAAAATGAGGTATTTGCAAACCATCTGATAAGGGGTTAAGATCAAAAATATCCTGTAAGGAACTCATACAACATAGTGAAAAGTAAAACAATTTTTAAAATGGGCAAAGGATTTGAATGGACACTTTTCCAAAGAAGACATACAAATGGCCAACAGGTGTATGAAAAAAATGCTCAGTTTCATAAGTAAATGCAAGTCAAAACCAAATATTTCACTTCAAGCCTGTTAGGATGGCTATTAGTTTAAAAATATATAAGTGTTGGCAAGGGTGTGGAGCAGAGGGAACCCTAGTGCACTGTTGATGGAAATGTAATTTTGTTGCGTCTGGGTCTCACTCTGCCAGCCAGGCTGGAGTGCAGTGGCACGATCATAGCTCACCGCAGCCTAGACCTCCTGGGCTTAAGCAATCCTTCTGCCTTAGCCTCCTGACCAACAGGGACTACAGATGCATGCCATCACACTAGTCAAATTTTTTTATTTTCTGTAGCAACAAGGTCTCACTGTTGCCCAGGCTGTCTCGAACTCCTGGGCTCAAGCAATCCTTTCACCTTGGCCTCCCAAAGTGATGAGATGGCAGGCGTGAGCCACCAAGACCACCCTGGCACTGTAAATCAGTGCAACTATTATGAAAAACCTGCAGGTTCTTCTGTCATTATCCATACCGCTCACCGGAAGAGCCAGGACAGGGGAGTTGTCAAACTAGGAGATCTCAGTTGGGACAAGGTGCGTTTCCAGGCTGCATCTGTCTCTTGGCTCTGGTGGTAGGGCTCGGGCGAGAAAATCTTGGTCGAGAAATACACTTTCAGGAATTGACTGTGAACCTTGGACTTCCCTGGATACCACTTTGGGGAATACTCTGTCAGGGTTCTGCAAGCAAGTTTACTTGTATTTGAGGGAGACAATCCGTCGGAGAAGCGAGTCTGACTCGTCTGCCCAGCTGGGTCATCAGAGCCAGCAACTTCAGCTATTTATGGAGCCAAGAAAGCCTTGGGGCTTGAGCTGTAGAGTTTGCAGAGAGGTCGTCTCTGTGTGATGTCCTCCCACGCCTTCCCATCCGTCCACCTTAGGTGAGGGAGAATCGCCTATTTCCCTTCTCAATGTAGGCAGGGCTGGGGTAGGGCGAGAGGGGAGGGGAGAGGCATGAATCTGGAAGGGATGGTCTCTGGGCCTCCTGCTTCCTTATTACACGATGATGAAGATGGGGAGTTTAGACCACACGTTATTTCCTGAGACAGTGGGCAAACGTGGCCTACTTCCTGCCACGGTGCTGTTCTCATTCCAAAGATCACAGGAGCAGCACCAATTAGGATAATAATAATGATAGTAATAATAATAATAATAATGATAACAACAGGAAGCCCTGAGCTCTCACTATATGCCAGGCTCTATCAGCAGCTCCTTACAAGCTCTCTCCTTTTTAAGTCAGGTCTACTGAGGTACAACCTATATAGAAAATCGATTCATCCTTTCTAGAGCATAGTTCTATGAATCCCAACAAAGGCACCCAGTCTCTTAAACTTCACAGCTGTGAATGGACAGGGGTCTGGACAGGGGAGTACATCGTTTTGTTTTTTTTAACGAGTTGGAGTCTCACTCTGTCACCCAGGCTGGAGTGCAGTGGCTTGCTCATGGCTCACTGCGGCCTCAAACTCCTGGGGTCAAACGATCCTCCCACCTCCGCCTCCCTAAGTGCTGGGGTTACAGGCACGAGGTCCCACCCCCGGCCGTACACCATCTCATCTGACGTTGCCCGCGCCCTTTCCCCTGGTGCCCCCCATCCAGACCAGCTGACGGGACAGGACAGGTAGAAAGTTCAAACCATGCAAGCTTCAGCACAGGTAGAAAGTTCAAACCATGCAAGCAACTGTCTGGGCATGAAGGAATCGACACTCCAGCCCCCAAGCACATAAAGACCCCAGCACTTGTGCAACTCAGTGTGATTAAAAGACTGAGACCTGGCTGGCACTGTGGCTCACGCCTATAATCCCAGCACCTTGGGAGGCCGAGGCGAGAGGATTGTCTGAGCCCAGGGGTTTGAGACCAGCCCCAGTAATTTGGTGAGCTCGTGTCTCTACAGTAAATCAAAAAATGAGCCAGGCATGATGGTGTGCACCTATGGTTCCAGCCTCTTGGAAAGCTGAGGCAGAAGATTGCCTGAGCCCAGCAGGTCAAGGCTGCAGTAGCCATGAGTGTGCCACTACACTCCAGCCTGGGTGACAGAGTGAGACTGAGGGAAAAAAAAAAAATCCTGAGACCTGGTTCCAGGTCTATAGATCTCTTCCTCTTCCACCCTTAACACCATGTCACAAAAGGCCCAGGTACTTCTGTTCTTTTGACCCAGTACATCACATCCAGCTGTCAAGGAAACAGGATGTGGTCTCCTAAAAGACAAAATACACATTTCAGAGAGCCAGGACAAGCATCAGGGCCAGACTCAGACGTGGCTGAGAGGTTGTAACTACCAGACCAGAAACATAAAACTGGGATCCATGTGCCAAGGACTCTGATGGATAAAGTAGACGGCGTTTTGCAAGGATAGATGGGGCAGGTGAGGTGGACATCCTCAGAAAGAGCCAGAAGGAAACTCTTGGGACCAGAACCACTGCCATGGAATGAAGAATGCCTTCGATGGGCTTTTTACTCTACTGAGCATGACTGACAAAAGAGTCACTGAGCTTGAAGATATCTCAGTAGAAGATACCAACATGGAAGAGCAAAAATGACCAAATAAGCCCAAATAAACAGAACAGGAAGAACTGTGAGCCGGCTCCAACAAGTGTAACATGTGCAGAATCTGGAAAGGACAAAACTGTGGAGACTATAAAAAAAGACCGGTGGTGCTAGGAGGCAGCAGGGAGGGAGGGCAACATGAATAAATGGGCGGAGCACAGGGGCTTTGGAAGGCAGTGAGACTCTCGAAATGATGATGTCATGGTGGACACTTGTCATTATACTCTCCAAACTCGCAAAAGAGGAATAACAAGAGAAAGGCCCAGAATACGTTTTGAGGCAATAAGGACTGAGAATTTCCCCCATATCGATGTCAGACACCAAACCACAGATCCGGGAAGCTCAGAGAGCGCCAAGCGGGACCGATGCCAAATGGAAAGAAAAACCAAACACAAAACCTACAATGAGGCATATCATATTTACATTGCAGAAAATCAAAGACAAAAATTCTGAAAGAAGTCAGAGGAAAAAGGGTCTTGCGTATAGAGGAGAAGAGATAAGAGTTATATCCAACTTCTCCTCGGAAAGCATGCAAACAAGAAGAGAATGGAGTGACATTATTTAGAGTGTGGGGAGAAAGAAAACCCACCAACATAAAATCGTGTACCCGGTGCAACTGTCCTTCAGAGGTAACGGGGAAGCAGGGCACAGCAGCACGTGCCTGTAGTCCCAGCTTCTCAGCTACTCAGGATGCTGATATGGTGGATCCCTTGAGCCTGGGAGTGCCAGTGAGCAGTGAGTTATGATCACACCACTGCACTCCAGCCTGGGCAATAGAGCAAGACCCTGTCTTAAAAAACAAACATACAAAGAAGTAAAGACCAAAGACAGAGTGGAAGGGGAAAAAAAGGCACAAAGAACCAAGGCAAAAAAAAAAAAAAAAAAAGAAAAAGAAAAAGTCACCAACATGGTAGATGCTAATACAATTAGATCAATAATCATATGAAACATCAATATACCAGCCAGTGGAATATTATTTGGCACTGAAAAGAAAGGAATGGCGGAGCCATGAAAAGATACACAGGAAACTTAAAGGCATGTTATTAAGTGAAAGACGTCAATCTGAAAAGGCTGCACACTGTATGATTCCAGTGACAGCATG